GTGAGTGGGAAATTTGACCTCTGTGGCCTTCCCCTTAAGTATAAGTGTAATGTAATAGTCATCAGGAATAAGCATCACAGGTGTGAGGACTCCAGGTGTGTGTGTGTGTATGTATGTGTGTACACTACTGATACACACACCTGTTCACCCCCAAGGTCAGAGTCGTGGCGTTCACTCACCACCAACCTTCGGTCCGGAACTGACGTGGCTTATACAAGCATGTTCGCAGTCTTTGTTTCCACCACACACCTGTCATGCCACACACACACCTCTCTCCTCCCACCACACACACACACACCTCTCTCCTCACACACACACACACACACCTCTCTCCTCCCACCACACACACACACACACACCTCTCCTCCCACCACACACACGCACACCTCTCTCCTCACACACACACACACACCTCTCTCCTCCCACCACACACACACACACACCTCTCTCTCCTCCCACCACACACACACACACACACCTCCTCTCCTCCCCACCACACACACACACCTCTCTCCTCCCACCACACACACACACACACACCTCTCTCCTCCCACCACACACACACACACACCTCTCTCCTCCCACCAACACACACCCCACCTCTCCTCCCCTCCCCACACACACACACAACCCCCTCCTCCCCCACAACACACACACACCTCTCTCCTCACACACACACACACCTCTCTCCTCACACACACACACACACACCACACACACACCTCTCTTCTCCTCCCACCCACACACACACACACCTCTCTCCTCCCACCACACACACCACACACACCCCTCTCTCCTCCTCCCACCTCCCACACACACACACACCTCACAACTCTCCTCCCACCACACCACACACACACCGCTCTCTCCTCCCACCACACACACACACACACACCTCTCTCCTCCCCCACCACCACACACACCACACACACACACACACACCTCTCTCCCCTCCCACCACACACACACACACACACCTCTCTCCTCTCCTCCTCCCCCACACACACACCACACACACCTCTCTCCTCCCACCACAACACACCACACACACACACCTCTCTCCTCCCACCCCACACACACACACACACACCTCTCTCCTCCCCCCACCACACACACACTCACACACACACACACCTCTCTCCTCCCACCACACACACACACACACCTCTCTCCTCCCACCACACACACACACACCTCTCTCCTCCCACCACACACACACACCCACACACACCTCTCTCCTCCCACCACACACCACACACCTCTCTCCTCCCACCACACAACCCACACACACCCACACCTCTCCTCCTCCCCACCACACACACACACACACCCCTCTCCCTCTCCCACCAACCACACACCCCACCCCCTCTCTCCTCCCACCACACACACACCTCTCTCCTCCCACCACACACACACACCTCTCTCCTCCCACCACACACACACACACACCTCTCTCCTCCCACCACACACACACACACACACCTCTCTCCTCCCACCACACACACACACACACCACACCTCTCTCCTCCTCCCACCACACACCACACACACACACTCTCTCCTCCCACCACACACACACACCACACACACCACACACAACACACACACACACACACACCTCTCTCCTCCCACCACACACCTCCCCCCCCCTCTCCCTCCCCCTTTCCTCTTCATACGGAACTACAAAACCGTCAACAGGTTGTCCCCATCTTTCCTCCGTGGCCAGGTGGCGTGGTCCGGGCCTCGCCCAGCAGCCGGACCAAGCAAGCTCTGATGAACAACCCTCATAAAGCCGTCTTCAAAATGGTTATTACTGGCAGAATTTCGCCACAACGACGCCTCTAAACCACAAATGTACGCGGGCGCCGAAAACGTCAAACTTTGGTAGAACTCATTCCAAGCAAATGGGAATTGTTAGTTTTGCCTCAAACTCGAAATTATTTTATGGACTTCCCTGCCGATGAGAGAGAGAGAGGAGAGAGAGAGAGAGGAGAGAGAGGAGAGAGAGGAGAGAGAGGAGGAGAGAGAGAGAGAGAGAGAGAGAGAGAGAGAGAGAGAGAGAGAGAGAGAGAGAGAGAGAGAGAGAGAGAGAGAGAGAGAGAGAGAGAGAAGCAATCATTGGACTATCAAGAATGAAAACAAGATTAAGAGGAAGCAGTGTGACAGGACAGGTGTACACAGAGAGACTCAGTGGTCAACACGACCAAGACTCAGGCAACATTGCCAGAGCCTCGTGGTACAGGTATATGGTCTGGTCCTCGCCAGACAAGAGTAGGAAGTCCAGCACCTCCATGTGCTCCCCTTGGGCCATGAGCTGGACCATGTTGGTATAGGACGCCGCCACCGGAACATTCTCAGGGTACAAACACAAGGGAGTACATTCAAGCTACACAAGATGTGTATATATAGGTACACAACAGGTGTACATATAAGCTACACAACAGGTGTACATATAAGGTACACAACAGGTGTACATATAAGGTACACAACAGGTGTACATATAAGGTACACAACAGGTGTACATATAAGGTACACAACAGGTGTACATATAAGGTACACAACAGGTGTACATATAAGGTACACAACAGGTGTACATATAAGGTACACAACAGGTGTACATATAAGGTACACAACAGGTGTACATATAAGGTACACAACAGGTGTACATATAAGCTACACAACAGGTGTACATACAAGCTACACAACAGGTGTACATACAAGCTACACAACAGGTGTACATATAAGGTACACAACAGGTGTACATATAAGGTACACAAGGGTGTACATTAATACCATTAGTCAGATCTTCAATTTTCTTTCCCTTTCGATAGCAAAAAAAAAGTGCTTAATCTATTTGGTGATCGTGATCAATTTCACGGCGTCTGAACACTGCTAATTCGTTAAACATTAATCAGCGCCATTAATCGCTCGATAATGCCTGGGCAATACATATGTATATGGTCGTGGAAGTAATCCATATATGTAATCGCTTTTAAAGGTTTGATGGTGGTAATCCTAAACTGCACCTTCAAACTTAATGTCCAGCAAAGTTTGTAATGTTCATTCACAAGCACCATTAGTAATACACTACAGCCCCAGTAATCCCCACCTGCACCCTGTAGCCCCAGTAATCCCCACCTACACCCTTATAGCCCCAGTAATCTCCACCTATATCTACTCCTCCAGACTTTGAAAGAACCAGTTGCACTAACGTTCCACATAATAAAAGTATTTGAGGGAGTGATCAGGCATCAGGTCACTACTTTCATGGAAACCAATGACCTCCGCAATCCAGGCCAATATGGATTTTGAGCGGGAAGATCATGCCTCTCACAGCTACTTGACCATTACGACAAAATCACTGAATCATTAGAAAAACAGAATGCAGATGTGGTATACACAGACTTCGCAAAGGCATTCGATAAATGTGACCATGGCGTGATAGCACACAAAATGAGGTCAGTTGGAATAACTGGTAAAGTAGGACGCTGGATGCTCAGTTTTCTCTTGAACAGAACACAAAGAGTAACAGTCAACCATATAAAATCGTGTGCAAGCGCAGTTAAAGGCTCTGTACCTCAGGGTACAGTCCTTGCACCACTGCTTTTCCTTATTCTCATATCAGATATAGACTTCATACAAGTCACAGCTTCGTATCATCCTTTACAGATGACACAAAAATCAGCATGAAAATTACCTCTGTTGAAGACATTGAAAAACTACAAGCAGATATTAATAAAGTTTTCGACTGGGCAGCAGACAATAACACGATGTTTAACAGTGATAACTTCTAGGTACTCAGGTACGGCAAAAATGAGGATCTGAAACATAATACAGGGTACAAAACACAGTCAAATCTGGCCATAGTAGAAAAGCAACATGTAAAGTATTTGGGAATAACGATGTCCGACGACCTAACGTTTAGGGAGCATAACCAAGCAAATATTGCGTCAGCCAGAAAAATGATAGGATGGATTACGAGAACTTTCAAATCCAGGGATCCCATCATAATGGTTGTACTCTTCAAATCACTTGTGCTGTCCCGGTTTGAGTACTGCTCAGTACTCACTTCCCCCTTCAGAACAGGAGAGATTGATGAAATAGAGGACATATGCAGAGAACATATGCAGTATACATTGACCCGATAAAGCACCAAATTACTGGGATCGTCTCAAAGCTCTCCAAATGTATTCACTAGAAAGGAAAAGAGAGAGAGAGATATCAAATAATATATACGTGGAAAATACTGGAGGGCCAGGTCCCAAATCTACACAGTAAAATAACAACGTACTGGAGTGAACGATATGGAAGAACATGCAGAATATAACCAGTGAAGAGCAGGGGTGCCATAGGCACAATCAGAGAACACTGTATAAACATCAGAGGTCCGCGGTTGTTCAACATCCTCCCATCGAGTATAAGAAGTATTGCCGGAACAACCGTGGACATCAAGAAAAACTAGATAGTTTTTTTCAAGGAGTGCCGGACCAACCGGGCTGTGATGGGTATGTGGGCCTACGGGCCACTCCAAGCAACAGCCTGGTGGACCAAACTCTCAAGTCAAGCCTGGGTATGTGGGCCTACGGGCCACTCCAAGCAACAGCCTGGTGGACCAAACTCTCACAAGTCAAGCCTGGCCTCGGGCCGGGCTTGGGGAGTAGAACAACTCCCAGAACACCATCAACCAGGTATCAAGTAGGTACACCATGTAGCCCCAGTAATCGCCACCTACACCTTACAGCCCCAGTAACCCCCATCTACACCCTGTAGCCCCAATAATCCCCCAGCTTCACCCTGCAGCCCCAGTAATCCCCAAGCAGATAAGCATCACGCCATATCAACGCCTCATAAATAATGCAGAATTCCCCGGTATTTCTGGGAGATAAAAGCTCAGGAAATCTCCAGGGTAATCTCCAGTATAAATGCAATCGCTTTCAACTTCTGAAATCCCTCCGGAAGTTGGCTGCCACCGCGCCTCGGTATAGTGATGGCTTAGCGAGATGGAGAATGAAAGGGCGAGGCAGGAAACGATAGGAAAGGTAAAATAATGGAAAGGAGTGAACAACGAGAGACAAAGATATATATGGAAAAGAGGCCTGAGGGACGAGAGAAGAATGGTCAAGGGGAAGGGAGAGTGAAGGATAAGAGAAAGGGGAGGAATAGATGGGGATATGAAGGAAGGAAGAGAGAGAGAGAGAGAGAGGATAGAGAGAGAGAGAGAGAGAGAGAGAGAGAGAGAGAGAGATAGAGAGAGAGAGAGAGAGAGAGAGAGAGATGGGTATGGGTGAAGGGGAAAGGCTAGGTGAAGAAAATGGGAGATGGAAATATTATATATATATATATATTATATATATATATATATATATATATATAATTATATTTTATATATAGATTATATAATATACGATCCTGCTTTCACTGAATGTTCAAATCAATGGGATGTTCTTGCAGCCCCATCACCCATCATAGATAAAAAAATAACACAAACAGTCCAGCTGGGACCACCCACTAGTGGGAAAAAATAGCTGATGCCATGCTCAGCGCCGCAACATCAGACAAGGAGAAAGCCCGCCTCAGAGCAGTGCGTGCTCCTCATGCAGGGGACTTTCTTTTGACAGTATCCATGTCGGCAATGGTCACGAGCCTAGATCCAGAATGCCTTCGTGTAGTAGTGGCCCTCCGCCTTGGTGCCCCAATTCACACTGAATATAAGTGTATTTGCAACAGAGTCGAGGCAGACCAATATGGACTGCATGGGTTGCATTGCGGAAGATCCAAGGTCTGGCATGCAAGACACAACGCGGTTAATGACATCATCAAGAGGAGCCTTGTCTCAGCTCAGTGCCCAGCAGAGAGAGAGAACCTCGCATCCTAGGGGACCAAAACTCGGATGACCCCGCACTTCGCCCAGATGGCATCACAAAATACTCCTGGAAGAGGGTCTGACAGCTGGTGTGGGACTACACATGTGTATCCACCCTGGCTGACACCTATGTACACTTCTATGATGATCAAGCAGGTGGGGCGGCCAACGACAGAGAAATAGCAAAATGAGTCAAATACAGGCGATTGGAAAGCCAATACACCTTTGTTCCCATAATATCTGAGACGCTCCGCCCCTGGGGTAGGAGCGCCTTGGGATCTCTCAAAGAATTGGGTTCCAAGCTCGTTGACATCACCAGAGACCCAAGGGCTCCCAGTTTCCTGTTTCAGCGCCTCAGTGTGGCGATCCAGAGGGGAAATGCTTGCTGCGTCCTCGGTTCCTGTCCAGAAGCGGAGGAGCTTCAAGAGATCCATAACCTTTAGGCATTTGTCTTGTATGTTTTGTAACCTTTAAATACACAATAAAGGAAAAAAAAAGGAAGGGGGTGGTAGGAGAAAAGCACACAGAAACTGTATTGGAGGGGACCCACATTCCCTCCAATGCGTTATGTGGTGTTTCCTCCGAGGCTATGGGTCCCCCTTCTTCCAGCCAGAGGTGGTACTACTCCCCTTCCCTATATAAAAAACATTATATATATATATATATATATATATATATATATATATATATATATATATATATATATATATATATATATATATATAATATTATATATATATATATATATATAAGGAAGTGAAGAGGGGAAGAAGAGGAACCAAGGGAATGAGAAGGACAGGGAGGGTTATAAGAGATAAAAAGACAATGATAGGAAGATGAGAAATAAAATTTAGATATTAATAAATATAAAGATAGAGGCGGAGAGATCAGTACAATGCAAGAAAATTAGAATAATGAACGAACGGACGAAAGCGAAAATCTGAAGAAACAGTAAAGAGGAGGAGTACCTGAGATGCCCAACACCTGAGGTCCCCAACTTGATGGGGTTCTGGGAGTTGTTCTACTCCCCAAGCCCGGCCCGAGGCCAGCCTTGACTTGTGAGAGTTTGGTCCACCAGGCTGTTGCTTGGAGTGGCCCGTAGGCCCACATACCCAGGCTTGACTTGTGAGAGTTTGGTCCACCAGGCTGTTGCTTGGAGCGGCCCGCAGGCCCACATACCCACCACAGCCCGGTTGGTCCAGCACTCCTTGGAGAAAATGATCTAGTTTCCTCTTGAAGATGTCCACGGTTGTTCCGGCAATATTTCTTATGCTCGCTGGGTGGATGTTGAACAACCGCGAACCTCTGATGTTTATACAGTGTTCTCTGATTGTGCCTATGGCACCCCTGCTCTTCACTGGTTCTATTCTGTATTTTCTTCCATATCGTTCACTCCAGTACGTTGTTATTTTACTGTGTAGATTTGGTACCTGGCCTTCCACTATCTTCCACGTGTATATTATTTCATATCTCTCTCGCATTCTTTCTAGCGAGTACATTTGGAGAGCTTTCAGACGATTCCAATAATTTAGGTGCTTTATCGCGTCTATGCGTGCCGTATATGTTCCCTGTATTCCCTCTATTTCAGCAATCTCTCCTGCTCTGAAGGGGGAAGCGAGTACTGAGCAGTACTCAAGCCGGGACAGCACAAGTGACTTGAAGAGTACAACCATTGTGATGGGATCCCTGGATTTGAAAGTTCTCGTAATCCATCCTATCATTTTTCTGGCTGACACATTATTTGCTTGAGTATTTAGCCCGGTCGGCCGAGCGGACAGCACGGTGGACTTTTGATCCTGTGGTCCTGGGTTCGATCCCAGGCGCCGGCGAGAAACATTGGGCAGAGTTTTCTTTCACCCTATGCCCCTGTTACCTAGCAGTAAAATTGGTACTTGGTGTTAGTCAGCTGTCACGGGCTGCTTCCTGGGGGTGGAGGCCTGGTCGAGGACCGGGCCGCGGGGACACTAAAAAGCCTCGAAATCATCTCAAGATAACCTCAATATATTTATTATAATAGTATTTGCTATTGAGTATTAACAACCTAGCGCTCTCTTCACCACCAACATCCGTCAACTACCAACATACATTTTGAAGAATGAACTGTTATTAAACACAAAAGTTTGACTTTCTCAACAAACTCGGTATTGTATTTTCAATAAAATATCGCATGCGCTCTTACAGATAAACATTTTACAATTTTTTATTTATTTTTTTCTTTTAGAAAATAGCGTGCGGCATTTTCAAGGAATATTTTACAGAATTTACATATATACTGCAAGGTTTCTGGATCAGATATCGAAATGCAGTTTCGATAAATATATGGATGAAAAGTTTTTTTTTTTTATTTTTAATATTGTTCAATGTTTTCATTTCAATCGGGACACTATCAGTCAATCTGTCAATGTTGTTCGTAAACATTTGATATTATTTTGCCAAATGTTTAAGTTCGCGGCGTTTATTACTTTTATTAATATATATTGTGTGGCGTTCTCTATATAGTAACACATTTTCGCCAGATATCGTATGATATCGTATGACATATTGAGTATATATCGTACGGCATTTTCGCCAGATATCGTAAGCCATTTTGACTAGATATCGTATGACATTTTTATCTGATACCGTACATTTTCGCCATTTAATGTCATTTCCACCGGATATCGTACGATATCATTTGGGCGTGAGCAGTGTAAGGTGTGACCAGTGTATTGTGTGTCAGTGTAGGGTGTGAGCAGTGAAGGGTGTGTCAGTGTAGGGTGTGAGCAGTGAAGTGTGTGTCAGTGTAGGGTGTGAGCAGTGAAGTGTGTCTCAGTGTAGGGTGTGAGCAGTGAAGGGTGTGTCAGTGTAGGGTGTGAGGAGTGAAGTGTGTGTCAGTGTAGGGAGTGTTCCGTATCCACTGTGTTACGAGTGTTAACGGTGTTAGTCATCAGTACTGTGTACTGTGCGTTCTCTTAATCTCGAAAGTTCTCAGATAAAGTTGCATGTTGCTCTTGGTTAGTATTTTTAAGTGTGATTCATGTTAATGTTCTATGTTAAAAGCGTACCTGGAGCATACCTGCAGGGGGTTTCACGAGTTCTTCACTACAAAACCAACTGAAATTATTTGGTATATTTTTGTGTATTAGAAATATAGAGGTTACTGAAGCTTCCCGACCTGTATGTTAGGAAGGTGAGTATACCCCTTGCATGGCCAGCAGCCTTGGTTGTTGTTGTTTACGATTCGCTACTTAGTACACAAAGTTCCAAGTAGCACGGGCTATGGTGAGCCCGTAGAGGACTTCTTTTTTCTTGGTCGCTTGGGCTGCCTACTCCCACACCCCCCCCCCAAGTTCCTCACCCACACCCTCCTTTACCCAACTAAAGCCCCTCGCCGCCCACCCAAGCCTCACCCCGCCCACGGCACTGCCCTACCTCCCCACCCCCCCCCCCGCCCCGTATCACTGCCCCACCTCCCCCACCCACCCCCCCCCCGCCCCACGTCACTGCCCCACCTCCCCACCCCCCCGCCCACGTCACTGCCCCCCCCCTCCCCACCCCCCGCCCACGTCCCCACCACTGCCCCACCTCCCCCACACCCCCTCCCACGTCACTGACCCCCACCTCCCCACACCCGCCCCCCACGTCACTGACCCCCCCTCCCACCCCCCGCCCACGTCCCTTACCTACCGCCACTGCCCCCACCTCCCCACACCCCGCCCACGTCACTGACCCACCCTCACCCACACCCCGCCCACGTCACTGCCTCACCTACCGCCCCCCCGCCCACTCAACACGCCCGCCTCAGGTAAAGAAAACATAATTATGTATTGAGTCAACATTCAGACTTCGGGGATCCCTAGGAGTCAACACTGAGCGCTATTCAGACCCCCTCCGTCTCCCCACGTTTGCTTACCTCCCTGTGTGTGTGTGTGTGTGTGTGTGTGTGTGTGTGTGTGTGTGTGTGTGTGTGTGTGTGTGTGTGTGTGTGTGTGTGTGTGTGTGTGTGTGTGTGTGCTCACCTATTTGTACTCACCTATTTGTGCTTGCGGGGGTTGAGCTTTGGCTCTTTGGTCCCGCCTCTCAACTGTCAATCAACTGGTGTACAGATTCCTGAGCCTACTGGGCTCTATCATATCTACTTTTAAAACTGTGTATGGAGTCAGCCTCCACCACATCACTGCCTAATGCATTCCATCCGTTAACTACTCTGACACTGAAAAAGTTCCTTCTAACGTCTCTGTGGCTCATGTGGGTACTCAGTTTCCACCTGTGTCCCCTTGTTCGCGTCCCACCAGTGTTGAATAGTTTATCCTTGTTTACCCGGTCGATTCCTCTGAGGATTTTGTAGGTTGTGATCATGTCTCCCCTTACTCTTCTGTCTTCCAGTGTCGTAAGGTGCATTTCCCGCAGCCTTTCCTCGTAACTCATGCCTCCTTAGTTCTGGGACTAGTCTAGTGGCATACCTTTGGACTTTTTCCAGCTTCGTCTTGTGCTTGACAAGGTACGGGCTCCATGCTGGGGCCGCATACTCCAGGATTGGTCTTACATATGTGGTGTACAAGATTCTGAATGATTCCTTACACAGGTTCCTGAACGCTGTTCTGATGTTAGCCAGCCTCGCATATGCCGCAGACGTTATTCTTTTTATGAGGGCTTCAGGAGACAGGTTTGGTGTGATATCAACTCCTAGATCTTTCTCTCTGTTCGTTTCATTAAGTACTTCATCTCCTATTCTGTATCCTGTGTTTGGCCTCCTATTTCCACCACCTAGTTTCATTACTTTGCATTTACTCGGGTTGAACTTCAACAGCCATTTGTTGGACCATGTGTGTGTGTGTGTGTGTGTGTGTGTGTGTGTGTGTGTGTGTGTGTGTGTGTGTGTGTGTGTGTGTGTGTGTGGGGTGTGGGGGTGTGTGGGGTGTGTGTGGGGTGTGTGTGTGTGTGTGTGTGTGTGTGTGTGTCTGTGTGTGTGTGTGTGTGTACTCACCTGTTTGTGCCTGCAGGATCGAGCACTGACTCTTTGATCCCGCATTTCTAGCTATCGGTTGTTAACAGCAATAACTCCTGTCCCATTTCCATATCAAATCTACTTTTAAAATTATGAAGAGAGTTTGCTTCCACAACCTGCTCCCCAAGTGCATTTCATTTTCCCACTACTCTCACGCTAATAGAAAACTTCCTAACATCTCTGACTCATCTGAATTTCCATCTTCCACCCATGTCCCCTCGTTCTGTTACTATTCTGTGTGAACATTTCGTCTATTTCCACTCTGTCAATTCACCTGAGTATTTTATACGTTCATATTATATTCCCCCTCTCTCCCTTCTTTTTTCTAGTGTCGTAAGGCTCAGTTCCTTCAGGCGCTCTTCATACCCCATCCCTTGTAACTCTGGGACGAGTCTCGTCGCAAACTTCTGAACCTTTTCCTGTTTCCTTATGTGTTTCTTCAGGTGCGGACTCTATGATGGCGTGGCATACTCTAAGACTGGCCTTACGTAGGCAGTGTAAAGCGCCCTAAATGCCTCCTTACTTAGGTTTCTGAATGATGTTCTAACTTTTGCCAGTGTAGAGTACGCTGCTGTCGTTATCCTATTTATATGTGCTTCAGGAGATAGATTAGGGTGTTACGTCCACGCCCAGGTCTCTTTCACGCGTCGTCACAGGTAGGCAGTTCCCTTCTATATTCTATCACCTAATCTCATTTCCATAACTTTACATTTGCTCGTGTTGAACTCCAGTAGCCATTTCTCTGACCATCTCTGCAACCTGTCCAGGTCCTCTTGGAGGATTCTACAATCCTCATCTGTCACAACTCTTCTCATCAACTTTGCGTCATCCGCAAACATCGACATGTAGGACTCCACGCCTGTAAACATGTCATTAACGTATATTAGGAATAGAATTGGTCCCAGCACCGATCCTTGAGGTACTTCACTCGTTACTGTTCGCCAGTCAGACTTCTCGCCACCTTAATGTTATTCTCCGCTCCTTCCTGTTAGGTAGATTCCTTACCCATGCTAGAGTCATTCCTCTTAATCTTGCCTGCCTCTCAAGTTTGAATCGCAGTCTCATGTGCGGTACTGTATCAAAGGCTTTTTGGCAGTCCAGAAATATGTAGTCTGCCCATCCTTCTCTGTCCTGCCTTATCCTTGTCATTTTATCATAGAATTCCAAAAGGTTTGTAAGGCATGGTTTCCCTTTCCAGAACCCACGTTGGTGTTTGTTCACAAACCTAACGTTCTCCAGGTATGCAACAAGTCGTAGCCTAATTATTCTTTCAAATATTTTACAGGGGATGCTTGTCAGTGATACAGGTCTATAGTTAAGTGCCTCCTCCCTATCACCATACACCCCTACGGGCTCACCATAGCCCGTGTAACTTGGAACTTTTTGTTCCAGGTAGTGAATCTTTTAACAACAACAACAACCCTATCACCTTTCTTGAAAATCGGTACGACATTTGCCTTCTTCCAGCAACTGGGCAATTCTCCCGACATAAGTGGTTCATTAAAGATCCTTGCCAGAGGCTCGCTGAGGGCCTGAGCTGCCTCTTTTAGTATCCACGGTGATACTTTGTCTTGTCCAACCGCTTTAGTTGCATCCAGTGTTGTCAACTGTTTCATTACCTCCTCTGCTGCTGTGTACTCACCTAGTTGTGCTTGCAGTGGTTGAGCTTTGGCTCTTTAGTCCTGCCTCTCAACTGTCAATCAAAACTAATGTACAGATTCCTGAGCCTACTAGACTATCATATCTACACTTGAAGCTGTGTATGGAGTCAGCCTCCACATCATCACTGCCTAATGCATTCCACTTGTCTACTACTCTGACACTGAAAA